GCGAGATCAGCGCAAAACATGCAAGAGTCGAGGTGGAGCATGAAAGTTACCTTTAGGTAAAAAACAGTAATATGTAGCGCCCACACAACAAAAAAAACACGGCGAACGTGGACCTCACCCCCAAGAATAAGAGCCTTCAAAGGTGCCGCCCCTCCCCGCTGTCGCCACACCAACCGTCACCGTCAAGTACACGCACGCACCCATCTTTATCGGAGGTGAGTGTGTGTGTGTGTGTGTGTGTGTGTGTGTGTGTGTGTGTGTGTGTGTGTGTGTGTGTGTGTGTGTGTGTGTGTGTGTGTGTGTGTGCTGCACGCCTTGCTTTGTTGTGGTCGTGTCTTGAAACAAGTCTGACCAGCAATCCAATGCAATGAATATACAACTTCATCACAATGGTTCCTCGCCATCACTACCACCAAGGCCGCTACAACAAGCTGGTGCGCGGGGTGTCCCAGACGCCGTGGTTCATTGGCAGCGGCCGTCGTGGCGACACATCTGTGCAGGTGCTGAACGTGATGGCGAGGGAACGGGTGGTGATAGTATTCGTGGTGATGATGGCGATGATGATTGGGTTTGGTGTGAGGAGAGACGGGAGCGGAGAGAAAGAGACAACCAGTGTAGTGTGATCATGCAACAGAAATTGCCTCTTCAAGTATTTCCTTGTTTCAATGAACGTACGCACACACACACACACAATCACGCACTAGCACACACACATACCAAGACACAATCAATCACACACACTCGCATTCACACGCATTCACAAACAAACATGGGTTGTCGTGTGCTTGTGCGTCATCAGGAGCTTGTGACGGGCGAGCTGGAGGCGCTGGTGAAGACGGACGAGGTCAAGTTCAGCTCCGCCGGGCGAGAGGTATGAGCCGTGTACACGTGCAGGCAGTGGGGACATTGTGATCATGACACATGTACACGTGTTGTTCTCAACATCACCTCGCGTCTTTGTTCTCCACCCCTCTGCTTTCTCACTCCACTCCACTCCCACCCCCCCCCCCCCCACAACACCATCCCCGCGATCAACGGCCAGGACTGCGATGTGCGGATGCTGGGCACGGGCCGTCCGTTTGTGCTCGAATTCGTCAATCCGCGACGCATCGCCGCCCTCACAGCCGATGTCCTCGCACAGCACCAGGTGGTGTGATGGTGTGGTTGGTGTGTTGGTGTGATGGTGGCCGGTGATGTGGCGGTTGCTTGTGCATCATGTGCAATCACTTTGGCGAATATACACCACTTGACACGTGCACATGCACTTTGCTTTCATATACACACGCGTTCATCGACACCAGGCCGACGTGAACGGGATGGAAGGGTCAAAGGTGCGGGTGCGCGACCTTCGACTTGTGGACAAGAGTGACGTGGCGCTTCTGCACGAAGGACAGGAGAAGAAGAAAAAGACATACGCGTGCCCAATCTGGACCGAAACGCCGCTGACACAACAACAGATGGACACCATCAACAGCACACAGGTAAGCAATACGCCAAGCAGCTACACACACACGTGTGCAAGCGAGTGCATGATGCTTCCACTGCTGAGCGCGCGCGCGCGCGCGCGCGCGTGTGTGTGTGTGTGTGTGTGTGTGTGTGTGTGTGTGTGTGTGTGTGTGTGTGTGTGTGTGTGTGTGTGTGTGTGTGTGTGTGTGTGTGTGTGCAACACGCGTTGCAATGCTCAACCCCAACACTGCCCGCCCACATGACGACGACGACGACACTTCAGGATCTTCTGCTGCACCAGAAAACGCCGATGCGCGTGTGTCACCGCCGAACACTCATGACCCGCGAGCGCCTCGTTCACAGGTAGGGCTGTGATTGTGTGCGCGTGTCTCTGTGGGTGTTGTGTGCTTGCGTGTCATTTGCAGTTGACCACGGCACATCCTGTACAACGTTGCTGCTGTTGCATTCCTCACCCCAGTTGCTCTACACCCCCTCTCTGCTCATCAGGATGCACATACAGCCTTTGAAACCGCACTTTTACCTGTTGGAGCTGTGCACGCAATCTGGTGAGACACATCAAGTGGATTGTGTGTATGTGTGTGTGTGTGTGTATGTGTGTATGTGTATGTGTGTGGGTATGTGGGTGTGTGTGTGTGTGGGGGTGTGTGTGTGGGTGTGTGTGGGTGGGTGGTGTGCGCGCGGTTGAGAGTGAGGCCACGTTCATCTCAACACCCACCCTCACATGTACTCTCTCGCGTGCTGCGGTCGCGACACCAGGGACGTACATCAAGGAGTTTGTGCACGGCGACCTGGGTCGCACCACCCCCAATATGCGCTCCATCCTCGGCTGTAATGTCGACATCCTCAGCCTCGACGTCGTGGTGCGTAGCCGTCTGTATGTACATGTGTGCGTGTGTGTGTGTCCATGTGTGTCTGTGTCTGTGTGTCTGTGTGTCTGTGTGTGTGTGTGTCTTGATCTAGCTCGCTTGGTGCGCGTGTCGTGGAGGTTGGTTGTCATCATCCCCTTTTCGTCCCCCCTGTCGCCTTACCTCTCCCCATCTTCGTCCCTCTGCTACCCTCCCACTGCTTGCGCTTCCGCGCATGTTGCATCCTGCGCGCTTGTGGAAACAGGACGTGGATCTGGCGTGGCCACCAAAGTCGGCGTCTTCATCGTCGCCAGCGCCAGCGCCAGTGCAAGCGCAAGAACGCGCACAGGAAGCCGCCAGCTGAAGCCCCCAAGCGAAGCACACCGTCACCCTGGCTTGACATGATGAATGAACTTTTTGTAGGGTCGATGTGTAAACACATGCAAACAAGTGAGCAAGTGGACAAGTGGACAAGCGAGCAGCAACACATACAGACACACACACACACGTAGAGCACAGCACACACACACACACACACACACACACACACACACACACACACACAGACACACACACACACACACACACACACACACACACACACACACACACACACACACACACACACACACACACACACACACACACACACACACATAGAGCACAGCACAGCACAAGATTCGATGCAACATTATGCATTTTCGCGCAAACACAAACAAAAGCACGAGCAACAACCGACGATGATGGCAAAGACGCCGATGATGCTTGCTTCTGCGATGCGATTGCTTGTGGGTCGACTGGCCTCGCCAACAAGGACGCTTGCGCCGAGATCATGCGCACTCCAACACCACGTCCGCCTCCTCTCTTGCACCACCAGAACACACAAGCTCGCAGGACTCTGGCAAAAGTGCGTGTCTGTGTGTGTGTGTGTGTGGGTGTGTGTGTGTGTGTGTGTGTGTGTGTGTGTGTGTGTGTGTGTGTGTGTGTGTGTGTGTGTGTGTGTGTGTGTGTGTGTGTGTGCATGTGTGTGTGTGTGTGTGTGTGTGTGCACGTATGTTGAGCAGTGGTCGTGTGCTGCGTTCGAGTGCGCAGCTTCCGTCCCATGTACGATGCTCATCGCTTGCCACCCCTGGCCAACTCGCCTCCATTGCAACCCCTTTTGACAACCCTGTAGCTGGATCAACAACGTCTGGAACCGACTGGACGAAGGCAGACTGCGCCTCGTCGGCCCTGAACGGTGCGCGTTGTTCTCTGTCTTGTTCTTCGCCCACCCACGCTACACACGCGCACTGCTCTGGCACTGCTCACTCTCCCTTTGCACACAACCGTGCACTAACGCATCTGCCCTGCACACCACAGGCTGGTGACGGAGTGGACACTGCGCATGGGTGGACGGGCGCTGCTGCAGGGACAACACGACAGTGGGTACTGGGTCGCAGACTACAATACGCTGCCCTGGCTGCAGGACACCAACCAGGGCATCAAGCCCAGGGGCAGCGTCAAACTGCTCGAAGTCGACTTCAACAACATCGAAGGCATCAAAGACACCGGAATGCAGCGTACGTCTGCGGCGGTGATGACGGGACAACGGCGTGTCTGTCGCACATGCGAGTGGGAGTGGAAGTGGTGTAGATATGGACGTAATGTGTTGTGCAAGCTGACCTTGCCTCGGTGCTGAGTAATGTCAATCAAACCCTTGTGCCTTCACTCACACACACGCACACGCACGCTCACACACACACTCACGCACTCACTCGCAACTTCTGACTGAGCAGACTTTGGCCTGAAAGGCTTGAACAACCTGACATTCGTTGGCCTGCGCAACTGCGATGAAGTCACGGACATTGGCATCAAGGTCGGTTGAACAACAGCCCATAGTCACGGTGTGATAGTGTTTGCTTGCATCTCTCCCTCTCTCTCTCCCTCTCCCTCTGTGATCGCTGGCTGGACGATGCTCACGCATGATTACATGACATGGTTGTGCTTTCGTGTGCTTGCAGTACCTGGAGAACCTTCCTGCTCTCACCCGCGTCGACCTCGCCGGCACCGCGTACGTGCAAATGTACTTTTGTGTGTGTGTGTGTGTGTGTGTGTGACGTCTGCATTCTCATGTGTTGCATGGGCGTTTCTCACCATGGTACGTTCGCTGCCACCACTTGATCAGGGTGACTGGCGCTGGCGTGGCGTCCCTGCTGCGGAATCGTGACGACGCGTTCACCGTCGCCGTCCACGCCATGCCGGACCTGCCGAGCGACCCGCGCATCCAAAACGAGGTCGAATCCGTCGACTGATGGCCGCCGACGTGTGTGTGTGTGTGTGTGTGTGTGTGTGTGTGTGTGTGTGTGTGTGTGTGTGTGTGTGTGTGTGTGTGTGTGTTTGATTGTGTTGTGGACTTTGGTCGTGCCGAAACTGCCGTGCTGCCAAGTAAACGTTGCTGTAACTGAGACTGTTCGGAGTGTGATTTACTGCACATACACACATGCACACACACACACACACACACACACACACACACAATCGTGGCTGGAGTGCCATCATCGCAGTCACTTGAGAAGGTCGTACACGTGTCGAGCCATGTCCCGCGTCTGCTGCGGATACGAACTGCCAGCAAACGCATTCACGCACTGCGACATGTTGGGCAGCGACAGCGCCAGCGCAAGCAGCACCTCGCTCGACGACACCTGACAGGGGCGGGGCATTGGGAGAGAGGTGGGATGGGTGGCAAATGAGATCAGTTGCGGAGGGGAGGAAAAAGAAAGGGGATTGATTTGATGTGATTGGTGATGTGGTGTGCAGGTACAAATGGAAGTGGGACAATGGCAAACTCTGCACGACACACCGCCTCCTCCTCCCCCTCCTCCTCCTCTCCCTGCTCTTCGGCGACGCGGTTGTACCAGGGTGCCGAGGGCGCTGATGATGCGCGATGCCGTCTCGTGATGGGCGGGAAGAGCGACAATCACCTGCGCGCACACGCAGGTCGCATAAAATGGCACGCATGAGTCGATATCAGTCGCCAATGCCACCATAACACAACCACAACACCACCAGCACCAGCCACCACCATATCACGCCACGCACCCGGTGAATGGCGTTCACGGCCTGCAGCTGGCACTGCGCCACGTCGTCGCGCTCGGCGTCCTGCTTCACAGCCCACGTCGCCAGGCTGGCGGGCGCATGCACACAAGGCCAAAGCAGTCAATCGGGGGTGAGGAAGCGTGTGGATGCGTGTGGATGCGTGTGGATGCGTGCGAGCTTGCTTGTACATGTCGAAATGATCAGTGATTGGCTTGCAAACCAAGACAACAGCCTCCCTTTCAAACATACACAAGCGCGCACAAGTGCACACAACAGACTTGAGGAGATACGATGCGACGGCGAGTATCTGGGCATCCTTGAGGGCGGCCATGTTCCGCTCCAGCAGCGACTCGCACACCTGAGGCCGTCACACGACGATGTGCGTTGGTGGGAAGGTGACAGAGAGCAGAAGCTTCGCGGGACAAAATACACACACGCACACACAAACACAGAGGAATACACACGCAAACGCATCAACACACACACAAACACAGAGGAATACACACGCAAACACATCAACACACACACATACAGCACACACACACACATACAGCACACACACACACACACACACACACACACACACACACACACACACGCATAAACAAGGAGTGCCTACCGCGGAGTGTTGGTCTGGAGATATGGCAGAGGGGCTGGCGGCGATGAGATTGGTGAGCACACGCATGGCCAGCATCATGCAGGGGCCCTCGCCGTACACACCACCTGACGTGCGGTTGCGCAAAGCGGCGTGATAGTGGGCACGATGATTGAGCGGAGAAGGAGGCGATGCCACTAATGCATGATGCAACCAATTCATGATGCAACACATCCGGGACACTCAGCACATGATGCGCCAAACGCACCGCCACCAAGAACACCGCCACCAAGAGCACCGCCACCACGAGTACTACCACCCCTCTATGTCCCGCCGCCATGGCTGGTGTGCGTACATGCAGTGACGATGCGCTGGGTGAGTGCTGCGTCCATGCTGGCGGTGGCGGCGACGGCAGCCGGCGTGATCAGCGCCAACCGAAGCAGATCAAGCACTGGCAGCCAACAAGTAACGGCGGCGGTGATGATGGCGGTGATGGTGAGGTGACGGGGGCGGTGATGGTGGCGGTGATGGGGGCGGTGTTGGGGGCGGTGTTGGTGGCTGGGGTGTGAGAAGGTGCAGCTGACACATTTGCAGATTGGAACGCACGACGTGCAACTTCCACAAACACACAAACACGACATCGTAGAACACAACACAGCACAACACACAAGACAACACAACCCAGCGCACCTGGGACGTGGTGTGCGCGGTCCCAGGACTCGAGAGCGCTGAGGAGGGCGGTGATGGTGGCGGTGAGTTGCGCCGCATCTCCGTACGCATGCACGTCCGCAACAACCGTCTCCAGCGTCGACAACGCTGAGGCGGACAGAGGCGACGCAGCCGTCGCATTGAACTCCTCTGCGGATGCGTTTATGTATGTGTGTGTGCGTGTGTATGTGTGTGTGCGTGTGTGTGTGTGTGTGTGTGTGTGTGTGTGTGTGTGTGTGTGTGTGTGTGTGTGTGTGTGTGTGTGTGTGTGTGTGTGTGTGTCATGGGCAGAGGCAAAAGAGGTGATTAGGAACGATGGTTGGGCTTGGGCACGGCGACATGGTCTACAGCACAAAACGTGAAATCGCGACTGCACCCCATACTCCTGCTTGTTAACGAACTTACTCAGTTTGTTGAGGGCGGCCTGTGGCTTGCCTTGCGAGAAGCGGACATATGTGCGCTATCATTGAATACATGCAAACACGTGAAGAAGATGTTGGTGAACCAAGAGTCACATGTGGAAGCAGCAGCCCAGCAACGTGGCACTGCACCCCGCTTCAAACGTATTTCCCAGCCCCAATCGCATCCCTCCCTCTTCTTTCCCCACTCCCCACGCAGCTCCACCGCCTTCTCACGTTTGGAAACATGGCTGCGGCCGCAGGTTTCGTGGTCGTGGTCGTCGTCGTCGTCATTGATGTCGATGCTCCCGTGTACGGGTCCGGGTTGTGATACCCTGCCGATGACGATGAGAATGGCGGCTGCATGTGCTGCCCACTGACGGCGCTCTGCCCGCCAGTGAATGGATCAGGGTTGACCGCCTGGCACACAGGGGGGGGGGGGCGGAGGTGGCGATGATCAAGACAGGACGCGCGGTTGGCGTTGAAAGAAGGAGGAGTGGAGGGATCCATAGACAGAGGGATGCCCAGAGCGCAGACAAGCAAACAGACATACACAGACACACAATGCACACACAATACACAATGCACGCACAATACACATACACATGCACAGACACACGGACACACACGGACACACACGGACACACAAACACACACACACACACACACACACACACACACACACACACAATCAAGCAAACGGCGATTGACGTACCGGCTGGGGCGTGCCTGTCTCGAGCGTCGGCACCTGCGCATTCTGGATAATGAATGATGCAATCTGGTCCAGGAAGGACTGGCTCAGCTCGTGCTTGTCAATGAACCTTCACGACGGCCATTCGATGATTGGTGTGTTGGATGGGTGACACGATGTCAGTGCAAGCAACAGCCACAAAGAAGGAGGAAGGAAAGGGGAGGAAGCAGGTGAGGTGGAAGGATGACGACTGAGCAAGCAAAGCGCAACGCCTAGCCGCCATGCACTAAATGCACATGTGGCCTCACTTCTGTGCGACTTCGTAGGGGTTCTCGCCTTTGTTGTACTCCAGCTTGAGGTTCTGCGCACGCAATCAAAGAAGCGGAAACGAGGATGGCAAAGAAGATGTGGTGGACACGATGAGATGGAATAGAAGCGAGACAGGCAAGAGTGAGCACGGGGCCAATAATTCAGTCAGCGGCAATATAGACACACAGACACACACAGACACACACAGACACAAACGCACAGACACAGACACAAACGCACACACACATACACACATGCACACATGCACACATGCACACATGTACCCGTCCACGACCCTCCCCCTCCTCCTCCTCCTTCCGTCCTTCCTCGCTGAGCGCTCACCCTGCCCTCGAGGTCGACAGTGAATGTGTAATCCGGCGCAACGGCGTCGGTTACCAATCCCATGTACTGCCAGTTTTGCCCAGACCACTGCACGCATACAGTGACGGTCAAGCACATCATCGAGGTGTGAGGCGGGACGCGAGTGGTGGAGACCAGAGTGCACGGTGATCACCCCGGCATCGTGGACGCAAACACACACACACACACATACACACACACACACACACACACACACGCACACACACACACACACAACACACGCACACACACACACACACGCACACACGCACACACACACAAATACAAAACCAAGAAAGCAAGCAGGTTGAGGGTTCACCGGACCGTGTACGCCTCAATCTTGCCGCCGTTGTTGACAATCTTGTGCTCGCCTTCGCGGCGGCCGGGCGTCTCCAGCACAGACTTGTCCGGGATGTCGCTCTTCTTCAGCGAGCCAACCTGTCGTGGGGACGAGGGATGGGGGATAGTGATTGGGGAATGAGGGCAGATGACGGATGATGAGAGGTTCGGTGTGCATGGCAAGCGGCAAGATGTGGATGCTCGACAATGTTCACACATACATACACACACACACACATCGCGCACCTGCTGTGCCTGGCGTGCCGCAAAGGAGGCCGCCACGTGCTCCTCGAATTGGAGCGAGGACGTCCGTACTTGCGGTCCGGCCGCCGCCCGCGTGAACACACGCGGTAGTTTGCATCGTCGCACGAAACAATAATGTCGCCATCCCCACCTGAATGCAGCCCATGTGTGGGGGTATATTGGTAGTTTGGATTGAATGGATGGATGGTGGCTGGGGGCCCGCCCCCCAAAAAAGGGAGGGAAGA